CAATTTAGTGCTACTTGGTCCCAATGGAATTTCCCATTGGGAACCTACTAGCACTAACTTGCTAACTGGTTAGCAAGATGCTTTCGACAAACTGGCAACAACCAAACATGCTTGTGAACCTTCCACCACAGCAATCCCGCCCCCTTGATAAACGACCAATCATATTCACTTTATTCACTCGTGTAAAGTCATGCTTCACTCAGGAGAATTCGGAAATGCAACGGTTGGAACAGCCGTTTCACTACGAATATAAGTTACAGCTGCTACACTGAAGAGTGTTGGTTTGCGAAACCTAAATGTGCATTGCTATGGTATATTAACTGACAGAATTTTTTTTGTTTTTCTTGGTTTTCATCCAATAGTTGAGGATGTTAGGAAAAGATTGCACAGATCCAGCCACCAGCCAGTTTTATCTTTTTACGTAGAAAACAACTCCTAAGTAACGTTTTCAAAAATACAAAACTTGTTTTTAAGTTTGTCATCAATGTTTAGTGATGCAATCCATGTTTGATCTGTAGTACTTTAGCTGATTAGATGATTCCTTATTCATTACAACAAATGGGGTTGCCTTTTAATCAAGGCCACTATAGAAGATAACACCCTTATTTTGTAAGCAGTTCTAGGGTGAGATGTTTAAGGAAATAGGAACCTCCTGCCCACACACACTTTGACAAGTGCAGCTGTAGGTTTAGAGAGTGAACTGACAGCCACACTCTTTTGGCTTTTAAGAATGAGTAAACAGAAGTGTTGATCAGATGTAAAGTCGAGTTCATCAGCAGGGTGCCTTTACAGATGATGTCTGATGCAATCAGTACTTCAGTTTATTTTCTGTGAGTTAATGAGGATAAAGTTTGGGTTAAGTGTTTTCTTTTTTTTTTTAAAGAGCTGTTAACTTCTTGAAGCATTATGTCCTTTTCCTTCTGATGGAATCAGCGATTGAGGAAAACCCCCAGATTGTCCGATCTAAATCCGTTCGGTGCTTTAAAGGTCTGTTGGAAGGAGACAAAGTAGATCTCTGCGATTAAAGTATGTTTTCCAGCTTTCTCTCCTGGATCATTAGTTTAGTCTGTGATGCATCCAGTAATTGATCCCAGATGGGCTCCTGAATGCAGCGTAACAATCAAACCACGACGTCAGCATCCTCCTCCTCTGCTGGAAGTGCTGGTGTGCAATGCTCCCATTGGAACTTGTGCATCTCTGTATGTGAGGTTAACCCTTTGAATTCCACAGTCTGGATGGAAGGCTTAGGGTTACATCACTTCCTTTAATCTCCCTTTGACCTGACCACCACTGTCTCCTACATCCTGTTTGAAGGCACCCTGAGTGCTGTTTGTTCTTCCTCATTGTCCCTGTAGCAAAGAGGATTCTTTTGAAAGTCCTCCCACACTGTCCGCGATCCAAACAGTCTGCAGGGAGCTCACTCGCACAAAGAAGATCTGTGAGCTTTCCAATTGGGACCAAGCTCAGGCCAGTTAGATGATCCAGACTGTTATGTAACCCTATGTAGGCAGGATGCAACCTTTAAGCCTTGATTAACAGATCTAAGGCGAAGGTAGGGATTTGTAAAGTAAAAAAATAAATAAAAAATTCTCCCCAGTGTGCAGGAGAGATGAACCCAATAACCCAGATGAAAGAAAGCTCTTCTAGTTCCTCGTAATGCGGTTAAAACGCCATGAATGGGTGATTTAGCTAAGTGAATTTGAGTCCTAAATTAAATAGGAGTTGATCGGTGCTCAGGGGGAGCTGCATGGTTCGCTTTGATATTTGGAGGACAACAACCCAGCGCTAACAGTGTCTCTCTGTTAGGCAGTAGGATAAAAGCTCTGAGGGGGCCGCCGCACTAAAGAGCATGTTCTTTTATTACAGACAGTTTGCTCCATAACGAGTTTGTGTCAGGAGATCAAATCCCAACTGTTCAGGCCAGGCAGGGGTGTGACGAAGAAACTGGGGTGGCAGGAAGAGAGAGGAGGCATGTGGTCAGGAATCTGACCATTCGGCTTCCCTCAGGACGGTCGAACGAACCAACGCTTCTCAAACCCAAGGGTGTAACTCTGCGATGAAAGTTGGTGGGGATGCTCTAAGGGTGGCGGCTTATGCACCTATAGTTACTCGACCCAAACGCTTGCATTCGTTTTTTGTATTTTCCAAAAATGAGCTCAAACATATATTTATTGAATGCTTTCCTGTTGTTGAGAACACGAGAGAACTATAATACACTGATATTTCTAGGTAGATGCCTTTTAGTGCATTACATATATAGGGCCCAAAACATTAATGTATATAAAAAAAATCTATCAAAATATATCATGCATCCTTAGAAGTACAATTTCAATTCCATCCATCCAGAAAAAATATGCATATGCTGCATTTTAAATATAGCATAGCATTTTTTTTTAACTGCTAAAGAACAAGCTATGTTTTCTCATAGCTTGTAATCTGTTGGCATTTTTTAGCTGAAAAGGCTCTATATGTCCAATGAACAGATTCTTCGGTGGCATCTCCAAATAAAAAAAACAACTAGTTTAGAAACTTTTACTTTAAATCCGACCGCAATTCATATGTCTAAAGTGACATATGTCTGAAATGACAGGTCCGAGTATGTTAGACCGGTAGGCAGAACATGGGAGCAGCGTGAGAGAGAAAAAAAACACTAACTCAAAATTTGGCTAAAGTAAATGAGCTGAAAGGGGGGTGTCACTACCCGATCCGTCCTGGAGGCACGATCTGTTCTGTGCATGCGCTATTTGAGCATCCAGATATACATTCTGGTCGTTTTCGATTTTTATTTTGTTAAAAATACGTAAATGATTTTCCCTCCCCAAAAATGGTAAACGTACTAAAATATGATGTGTTAAAGGTTAACAATGTAATCTCTGAGAAATAAAATGCCTTA